CGGGCGCCAAAGCATAAATAGCTTTAAAGTAATGGTGAATTAGGCAGAGGCTCTTGAAAACTGTGTTCGGCCACCTTAAAGATCAGTAGAATATGCTAGAAGTGAAACGTTATTACTAAAACATACCGAGAAAGCCTAAAGAAAACAATTATATTAATTGTAAGTGCGACATCATGAAGAGAGAAAAATCAAAAGACTGAATTTAAAAAGTTTGTTTAAAAAGTAAACAAAAAAGAACGCCGGTCATGGCACAGTTTTAGATTAAAATTTGGTATGGTAACGAAATTGTTTCGAGATTATCTCAGGTTGCGTGCTAGTTGGTGTCGTTGAGCTAAACCCTTAATAATGTAAAGAGACCAATTTTAAAAAATGGGGAAAAAATACCAGTCAAAATGATGCCTAAATCCATGAAAGGGTCTTTTCAGGAAGTATTGGTTCGTTAGCCCCAGGTCGAACTTCTTCTCGCACGCAATGCGGACCGTTATGCGGACCCAATTACCTGTGGGGGCATGGGTACGAGGTTGTTAACGCTTCACCGGCACCGCGCCGGTGTTCGCTGGAGTGCTTCAGGTGTTGTTCTTCGTTACTGAGGTGTGGGCCGAAGGAGTCTTACGATTATATTAACTGGACTATAGTTTGTGATGTAGCAAGTGAATCTCACTGGAATCATCATGCAACACGATTCTACAGTGGAAGAAGTTTTAACGCGCGGTCAGCGAGGGTACAAGTTTACCAACTGGTCGACAACGTTTTCGTGTTCTCCTGAATTGTTCTTCGAACCAGAAACCACTGACGATATAAGAGAGGTTAGTTCATGGTTCTCCTCTTGAATCGCACTCACGTACGGGTGTACTGAAGGCTGAAATCGGGGTCAAATGAGGCCTTATATTTCTGGCTACATGTTAGTGTATTTTAATCGTCTTTCTCTCTCGCTTAGATTCTTCAAGCGGCTTCTGGGTTACGTAAGACAGTTCGTGTTGTGGGTGGCGCTCACTCTCCCTCTGATATCGCGTGCACCGATGGATACATGATAAGCTTGAAAAATTTCAAAGCCGTTTTGGAGGTAAATGATATATTATAAACCATAATGCTTGTAATACTTTTTTAACAATAAGCTTAACATGCATAGTTCACATTGTTAGATTGTAGCTTACAGCGGTTATCAATCACATGCGACCTTTAGCGCAAAAAAAAAGTCTAGACTCGTGAAAATTATCATTTATTTAGAAAACAAAAAATCCCAAGTCTCTAAGTATTGTTGGCAGCTTTGAAGGATAAAATCTGTATGAATGTCCAAATGTTGTGAGCCATAGGTAGGTATGTCTGGGATTCTCGTCAGATGACATTTCTGGCCACCAAAAGCACTGCATGAATTAAATTATGAATATAAGTCAAAGACATGCATTGCCGCTCAATCATCCACCCGTATCCCTATGATTCTAAGGGAGTGTGGGAATGTATCTACCGAACTACAGAGACCGACAGAAATTGAGCCTAATCAGAGAGATGATATATAAATTTCTGTGTTTTTAAAAACAGTTGTCAGCTGAGCTCTAAAAACATCATGAATAGTAAATCACAAAACAGTGTACATGTATAAAGATTATGCAGTAATAGATATTGCAAATGGGAATATTTCATTAACAGTGAAAACATCAAACCGTCATTAAGCATAAAAGTACTGAGTTGATGTATCCTGTCTCAAAAAATGCTTTGTCACTGACCATGCTGACACAGAAGTCCCGATTTTGTACATATTTCCTAAGTTTTAGTGGACGTCAATCATCTCCGCCTCCTTGTCGACTGTATGCAAAATTTATCTGAAAACGTGAGACCTCACAGCGGTCCACTCGTAAAAATTATCATTTTACTTTTGGTATGTACGGCTAGCTCACTAAATACATTGGCAGTAAATATTCCTTGAAATTTATAACTGAAGACGGGCAGGTCAGGTTTCTACCCCCAGGTAATAAGTTATAAGTTTTATAGAATTAAGAAATGTTTTCATTTATGGATTTCAAGGATGTAGTTAGTGAGCTAGCCGTACATACCGAAAGCAAAATATATTTATTATTACATAAGCGTGCACTATTATGTAATTATTTATGATTATTGTTAAAGCTCAGCTGACAGCTGTCTTAAAACACACAAACCTAAATATTATCACTTAGACTAGGGTCACTTTCTGCCGCTCTCTCTAGTCTAGTACAGTGTAGATACATTCCTCCTTGAAAATGGGTACAGCTGGAGAAGTGGGCGGTGAGGGGTTAGGGTTAATCTTAGACATGCCTTCCTACAGGTGGCTCATAACAATTTTGTCCAGATTTTATCCTTCAAAGCCACCAATAATACTTAGAGACTTTGAAGGGTCCTAGCAAAACTATCTTCTGGTCTGGTTCCTGCCATCTACAGCTGTATCTTTAAGGAAGGAGATAGGAGTCAGATGATGTTACCTAGTTCCACATATAAATGTACAAAAGCAAACTCTGTAATACTTTAATTTTTCAGTACTTTCATTTCTCTGCTAAGGCAATCAAATGAAACCTTTTCTTTTTTAATTGAAACAATATTCTTGACTTGGCATTTGCTCTAAGAGAGTTCTATTGAGGGAGCTAATGCCTAGGTCAAACCTTTCATCACTGTGATGGATTTGATACCTTGGAGATAGCAATATGTAACATCTCGAGAGGTCTGACATTTCCACTAGCCCGGTTGTACAAGGCTTTGATAGCCAAACCTCATATTTACTTAATTAAGTAAAAATGAGGTTTGGCTATCGGAATTTTGTGGTTTTGAAAGAATTAATATTCAATTTGATTTTTGAATAGTAATGATAAAAAAGTGTAAAATTCCCATTCTATGGTGTCTTTCTCGGCTCTTGTATATTGATATCATAAGGACCACTGGCACCCAGGCACTAGGAGGGCTTCTTCAGGTTATGTTGATCATGTATAATTTGTTTCTGAAGGAAAAATGAATCAGTTGAGTTTTTGATACTGTATTTATTTTTCCTAAGTAGACGTAAGTTAGACGTCAGTCATAAATTAGTAATTCAGAATCCACAACTTCTGACAGTCAGCTGAAGATTCAAATTGGATTTTCCACTGTCATCGTTGCTAGGGACCCCTTTCTTGAAAGTCCTGGTATCTTAAGATCTAAGTCTAGGGAATAGTAGTATGGTTTTTAGCTCCAAAACCCCTTAGTCTATTCTGTTTGAGTTTCATTTCCTGATATTTTTATTGTTTGAATATCGCGATTTTGAATGTAAATGTGGCCTAAACCAAAAAGACGGCTTTTTGGGACTGGTACATGTAACAACTGGGACTTTTGAGAAGGGGTCCACAGGGTTGTTAATTCACCTTAATTTGCAATCGGGAAAACAGGCTGGTCAGAATATATTGGATCATTTACATGTACTTCTGATTGGTCATATGTGTACATGTAGTTTAAAGTAATTATTATTTGTTCATTTATTGTAGATTGATCAAGGCAAGCAGCAAGTGACAGTTCAAGCTGGTTTGACAATTCAGGAACTCAATGAACTGTTAAATGACCATGGCTTAGCTTTATCCAAGTAAGTGATCAGGACAGGAGGACTTGAGGTAGACTGTTCGCAGTCCCCTATTTTTCCATGAGATCATAGATGTCAATCATTGAGTTTGACTAGCCGTCATCTTGATCTCTTGATGCAAGCGAAACTGGGAAGGGTATAAACTGTCCATGGGTAGGGGTGGTGGAGGGCACAGTGGGTGCCCCTTCACCCCCACACTATTAATCCACTGCCTCTACCCACGGACATTTTGCACTCTCCCCAGTTTCGCTTGCATCTAGAGACCAAGATGGCAGGCTGTGGAACCTATGATCTCACAGAAAAATAGGGGATTGTGAACAGTCTAGAATTACATGCAAGGGGTTTGGTCCAGATACATGTATGTATATCGAGTTGCTTGTCTGATCAATGTGTTTTAAAATTACTCCAAACCTGTACTTCAGACAAAATATCAGTTCTTTATGACAAAATTGAGCCAGTGAGTATCTACAACTTTCAGGTTAACATTTAGCAGATAAATGTTGATGCATTTCAACTTGGAGCTCTGATATAGAGAAACAGATCGCTAAGCAAACGTATGTTGTAAACTGTGCTGCCATTACATGTTATTACGTGCTAATTATTTAACTAATGCTTGGATCTCAAGTTTTGACCCATCTATAAGTTGAGGGCGAATTTTTGGACTGATTTTTAGGTCTTGAAAGGTCGACTTATACACGGGTAAATATGGTATGTGTGCTGTCTTCAGTGAAACCTCTAAAAGCTATATTATCAATAGAATGGTTATGGAACCTTCAATTTGTCACAATTATGGTCTGTTTTGAAAGTGATTTCTTTCCTGTCTGATTTGAAAAACAAAACATACAATAATACCAACAGTCACCACTTGAAACACGTACATGGTTGGTCACTGTCAGTCTCTAGTCCTGGTACTGCAGTAATAGTTCTAAGTGATGCCAAGTGTTACAGATCAGTGTTTAATTAACTACATATAAATTAATGATTCCATTTAGTGAAATCAGTAACACTCCCAGGTTGCTTTGTGGAAAGTACTGTTTGTTAAGCTCCAGCAGTTAGATCTTCATGAGCATGCCAGCCATTATGATGACCATTTTATATTATTGCAGTCTTAGTTCAGTGTCGGAGATGTCCTGTGCTGGTACCATCAGTACATGCACACATGGAACAGGAAAGGACTTTGGTCTTCTGGCGACAATGGTAAGTTGTTAGCAATGTTCAAGTTTTTGCACGTGGCACAATGTATA